GATAGGGATAAGGTGAGACCCCCCCCCCCCCTTAGTAGTTTGCACAAATTCTCCCAGGTAACTCATGATCAGATGATAAATCTACCCCTAATGACAAGGTTTAAGATTACAAAATGTGGAGAACATACCTTCCTATGGGCTGCAAAGATGCAGTTCAAGAAGCAATTCAAGTTTTCCAAATGAGAGCATAACTATTTTCAGTTTGAGCTGAGCAGGAAATAGGTATTTCATTTCCTGGGAAGTTGCATGAAATTTAAAGGCAAGAATTCTTGGGGGTGATGAGACATAGGGAAGCTTTTGCATATCACGGTACCCTCTACTGGGCTATGAGGAGGAGAGGGGAACCTGAGGAAGGATACTGCAATACCTGAAAGCTTGTCTAAATTATCTCAACCATGCTGTTGGCCCAATAAAAGATAACACCCACCAAAACTCTTGTCTTTCCCACAAAATTAAACTTTAATAACAAACTCTGTTTTTGCTCGACTGAAAAGTATTGTGCCAGTTACCATAATTAAAGATCTAAATGAAAAGTAGTTTTGAAGAGGAAATGCAGAATATTTCATTCAATTTCCTTAAAACAATTTCATTACCATAAGGAAAAAATTAACTGTCCAATTGTATTTGGAGTTCAGCAAGCTGCAGCCATGGGGATTGGAAATACACCGAGGAAATTGTGAAGCTGACCAATAATTAAGCAGAAATCAAGCCATGTTTTAGGCACAGTTGTAGATACAATAATTTGAAATGAGATACTACAGCACAATGCATGACATCAAAAGTCAAAGAAACTGAACTTTCAAGAATTTCCAATAAGCTCAGCAGTTGTCAGCATTTCTTCCTTTTAACATCTTCTAAAGCCAGAAGGCTATTTTAATATCATTAAAAGAAAGCACTAATAAAACAAGAAAAATCCATTAAGATTATTTCAGTTCAAGTGAGCTAAAGTATGTGCATGAATGGGAGGTATATTCCCCTGCAAAAAAAACATTCACCTGTTTGGATATGAACATTTGATAAGACATACCTATAGTTTGATAAATGAGTAGAGTGAAACTACCAACAGCTCCAGAAATGGAGCCAGCTATTTATGTGGTGTACAGCACATATGACAATAAAAAGATTGATTAAATAAAACAATAACTTTATAGTATCACTAAAACAAAGTTCCAATCTGTAATGATTATAATCATTAACTCATGATGTTTACAGAGCAGTGATTGACAAATGTATTAAAGCCTCCTAAAAAGTAGGAAAAGTCTGACAGCTCTGGTTACTCTTGCTTACTCTGCTGGTCTCCAGCAGAACAGGAAACTGGCTTCTCATTTTAAAGCAAGAAAGCTGTCTTGCCACAGAACAGAATGAATTTTTGATTTTCAAGCTAAGTCTCCATCACCCAGCAGAGGGAACTCTTGGTATTCTCATTTAATTCTTAACTACATTACTGTGGTGGAAGCTCCTGAATATTTGAATCAATCAGGTGCTATTAAAGGTGATGGGTCAGGAAGAAAAGTTTACCTTATTCTGAAGCTGCACAAAGTTCTTGCCAAACAATGCTCAACTTTCACATCATCTTGCAAAGAAGGTTATGACACAACCTCACTGAAAACCACTGAACGGCTTCCAAATCACTCAATCTACCTTTTCTTACTAAAAAAGGAGTTAATAAACTCACAGCACTTAAAATATGAAGGCATAAGATACTTGCCGAATAAGTAGATTTGATAGACATGCCAACAAAGATACAAAACCACTGTTCTTATAGAAATACAGTTAAGGGCCGTGTATATAAAGTTATAATGGAATTTGACCCCCCACGTCACTGCTTACAGATTATCACCTGCATTACCATCGCTTAATGTGATCTGGGGGGTTTTTTCCCTTGTACACATACGACAAAAAGGGGAGGAAGTGGTATGTAGAATGCTTTTCAAGAAAATTCCAATGTACATCAATAATTCAGCAAAGGGGACAAACTGTTCTTTTTAAAATAAGCAACAGCAAAGGGATCAAAGTTCAGCTTCTTTCAAAATTTTTTTTAAGAATAAAACCAGGGTGTGTGTTACTAAAGACCATCAACAATATTAGAAGCTTCATGCAGCTGGAAGCTAAACAGCAGGCTAATTCTACAAGTCTATATATGGAAATATTACCTATTTTTCATAAATAGTAAAAAGAAAAAAAAGTATTGAAGCTTAATGCATTTGATACTTGTTTCCCTATTCCTTCCCTCTTCTTATTCCTGTCAATTTTTTATTTGTCATTAACTCTTCAAATACTTTGTCTCTTTATTCATCCAGGTCCAGCATCACAACCACAAACAACCTGCCACTGGGCACTGATACAGTGCCTTTCCCCAATGCCTTCAAAATGTTTTACAAACATTTAGGCTAGGGACAGACATTACACATAAACTGGTTTAAGTGATCAGAAACTGATTTAAACGTGTAACAGAACAGATGTTCAGTGCACGTAAACCAGTTTGAAAATGGCTGAAACCGGTTTGAGATAAACCTGGCTGAATGTAATATCAGACTTAACTGATGTGCATCAAACCAGCTTATGCAATGTCTGTCCCAAACCCCTTGCTGGTTTAACTTAAACCCCTTGCTGGCTTAACTTAAACCAGAGTCCCCCAGCATCTTAGCATGCTCTCTGGGCTGGCCGGAGCTCTCTGCCCCACAGCATGGCTGGCCCCTCCCCTCTGCTCCCTGGACAGACCTCTGGCAGAGACTTGCAGGCACAGCAGGGTCTGCTGGCTTCCCTGTGCCCTGCTTCCCCAGCCCCATCATCACTCGCTGCTTAAGCACGGATCCCTTCCTGCTCTCTGCCACAGCATGGACCATAGCCAGCATGTGGTATGCTAGATAATGCTGTATAGGGCTCCAGCAGAGACTGCAGATGCAGCTGGGTCTGCCTGGCTTCCCCCGCCTTACTCCCTGCCCCCTGCTCAAGCAGGAAATCCCACCCCCAATCTCCTACAGCACAGACTCCAGCCCCACGGACCCCAGGCATTTGGTATACTAGCTAATGCAGAGAGGTATCTGTGTGCCTCTCTCTCCAATTTCACTGGGGCAGGCAGACAGAACAGTGACTGCTTAAGGCTGTTTGGAGCTAATCAACAGGTCAGCCAATAAGCTGTTAAAGAAGTATGAAGTAATAGAGAGAGGCCACTGTTTTGCTAATCAGGTGATAAAGGGTTATCACTATCAGCCCCCAGCTGGCTTGCTTGCCTGTCAGTTTGCTGCAGACTGTATGACAAAGCACGGAGGGAGACTGAAAAGCTCTGCATCATCAACAGATGCATGCACTGCATCCCTTCCTCCACCCTGCCCCTTGCCTCAGAGTGCTAGCCCAGGGCTGGGGCCATGGGGAAGACAGTGGGGAAAACCCTGGGACCATGCAGGCAGACCTCCCTAATAACAGAGTCCTGCCAGGGCCTGGCCACACCCCCTCAGCTCAGCTCCCTACAGAAGGGAAGGGAAGGCTGCTCTAGCACCCCCTAGCTTCTAGCCTGAGCCACTGCAGGCATGTGCCTAAATTTCCTCAGCCCAGAAAGGATATCATTCTGGTTTCAAACCAGTCCAGCC